ATTACGTGAGAGCGATTTCGAAACGTTTTCGTTTTCCTCTTCGAGCAAGAAAATCTTTTAGCGAATTCGAAACGATAATTTTATTCTTCTTTCCTTTCTTCTTCGAACGAATGTAACACCGCGTTGAAATCGTTGTTCTCGCTCTTTTCTCTCTCTCTCTCTCTCTCTTTCTCTGTTCCCCTTCCTCGCCAATTAGGCGAAGTCTAGTCTTCGCGATATTCGTTCGATCGATATTCCAGGCTACTGTTTTACCGAGTCTCGTTTCCCCTCCCGGGAAAAGCTGCGCGTGTTCAAGACGATAATAAGGAGGAGCATGATTTTTCCTTTAACTCTTACAACACGTTTTCAGGCCGCGTTTCGAATCACTTTTGACAACGATCCAACTTTCGATCGATTAAGAAACGCTTGCGACGACGATAGTGTTTCGCATTCGGGATTTCGAGCGCGGTTTAAATGGACGCGGGCGCGTGTCCTTGGCGCGCGAGGGTCATTTGGATCGATTACGAGTGACATTTGGCCATTGAACGTGTCTTTTTCGCGATAAAATTCTTTTTTATCGATAAAATTATCATAATGAATGCACGCAAGCGTGACCGGTTGGCGTCACCCGGATCCCGGAATTAATTGGCGGCGACAAAAGAGGAGAGTTATGCCTCTCCCTAAATGTTCCTCGTACACGCGACTTCCCACCCTAAATGTAATTCTCGTGGCTGTCGCACGGATATTCGCTCACCTTTGTATCCTTCGTAATTGGAGGAGACGACTTTTTCCCTTCCTTAGAGAAGAACCTCGTATCGATTTTCAGAAATTTAGATATCTCGCAAGTTTTTCGAGAACAGTTTTGTTTCGAATCTCGTGTATTTCGCGCGTAAATATTGGAAAATTTTAATCGTAATTGGCACACATCTTGTATATATACGAAATCGAGGATTTTCCTGTTTTAGGTAACAATCGGCGTATCCATTTGGAAGAATTCATTATTCCTCACGTTTTACGTATCTATGCGTATTATTTCGCGAATGAAAATTTTAATAATCGGCACACCCATACTGATCGTATGAAATCGGTCACAATCGAGGTCACAATCGACGCATCCATTTGGACGAATTCGTTACTCCACACGTATTTCGAATTTACATCACTTCGCGTGTAAACGAAAATATCGGAAAATTTTAATCGTATAATCGAAATCGAGGACCGTCTTGGCTCGCGATCGACGTATTATTTCGCGAATGAAAATTTTAATAATTGACACACTCATCGTATGAAATCCATTTGAACGAAGTCGTTCCG